TCTGAAAATTATAATTTTTAAAATTAAAAAATATCTCAAAAAACTGAAAACTTATATATTTCAAAATTGTTAATAAATTTCAAATTTTTTTAAATGTACATAGTAATATAAATATAAGATTTTTGTAACAAAAATAGAATTTCTGAAATTTAAAAAAAAATTTTTTAAATAATTTGAAACTCTTCTCAAAATTTTTGTATATTTCAAAATTTGTTAAATTTGTATAGAATATAATGTTATTGTAATACTTACTTCTTTATCGCTAATCGCTTGTTTGTATGAAAACTAGAAAAGTATAGAGAAAACGTCGCGTTCACAGCGTAAATAGAAATGTGCTTGCTTCTAGTCTGTCTCAACTCTTATAACTGACTTACCGCCTGCGCGCTAAGGTTCATTCATACGAGCCAATGAAAATCCACGACATCTACAAGCGGTGATGAAGCAAATGCTACGAGGCTTCAAAGTCCGCTAATTATAAGATGACAATGCTTTCGCGTTATTGCTCTTACTAAAAGCGAGAAAACAATAAAAATCATAGGATTCTTTATATCTGAATTCTTTCACAATATAAAATTTTCTTGAATAATGAATGTTAATAATTATTAATAAAAACTAATCTTGGAAATATAATGATAATAGTATCAAAATTTATTTAAATGACAGACAAATTTCGTAAATATGATATGACTATGATATGATCTTTTTCTATATTTTATTAAAATTTCTGATACTTATAAATATATTATAAATTATAATATTATTTAATAATAATATTGTATAATATAATTATTGTATAATAATTTTTATTATTATTATATCATTATAATATATTAAAAATAAATATTTTGAATTGCTTTTTAATATTTTTAAAATATATAAGAATCTATGTTCATCATCAAATTCTTTTTCTTTGTAACGATATATTTTTATATATAAGATCCTTAATATGTTTTTATTTATACAATTTACATAATTTATTTAATTGTTTAAATTATAATGATGTATGACTACGTATTTAAGATTTATATACAATAAGAAATAAATTTTATCTTTAAAAATAAGTAGACATTTAATGTGCATACTAAATAAATAGATGTTTATGTATCGCTAAATTTTTTGTAAAATATTATAAAACATTTTTTTAAATTATTAAAAATATAATAAAATGAATGAAATAATATTAGAAGATCAGAAAGATATATATAGTTGTATAGATATTTCCTATATGTTATACATATCTTCTTGAGAAAAAATGATTATTATTATACAGATAGATAATAAAAGATAATAAAACCTATATATAATTCTTTTTATTTATTAAATCTTGATTTGAAAATTCAAGATAAGTTTATTTTTTACAATATGTTTACAATATGTTCATAATTAATATTTTTAATTTCCAAAAATTGGATTAGATTTTTTGGAAAAATAATATTGTTTTATTTATATGGAATTTTTTATTTAAACAAGAGATTTAGCGAGATAAAATTGAAAAAATAAAAGAAAAACTTAAGGATTAAGAACCAAAAAAGATTGTACGATATTTACTTTCATTTTATTTAAGAAGAAAGTTTGTCGAAAAATGAATATCAGTTACAATAGCATTATATATAATATTCTTTATTGTAAAACAAGAACAAAAAGTTAATTAGATTAATTACATATTGTTAAAATTAGAAGCATATATTATATAATGAATAAAAAAAGCAATGTATTAAACATTATTTCTAAAAGTTTCTATATTACTACTTACATATTTTGAGTACTTTTATTTTTTTTTGTTTTTAATAAAAGAAAAAGAAAAAAGTATAAATATATTATACCCAAATACATAAAATAAAACTAATATGTACCTCTTTTTATTTTTATTATATTTCTATTTTAATTGATATCAATGCATCTATGCTATTACATTTCTATTTTGATATCAATAGAATTCAAATCAATCGAATTGATTTATAGATATAAAGATTTATTTCTATTTAATTGAAATACTGTTGAAATATAAATTATTGACATTATTTTTGATATTTTAAATTAAACATAAATTAAACAAATTTAAGAAATAAGAATCCAAGCCATATCTGAAGAATAAGTAATATTCTTACAAAAAGATCAAACAAAGATTTTTACTATTTTATAATTTCATGCACATTTTTCTCTTGTCAAAAATATTAAATGAATTAATTTTGCTTGTTTGTCTTATCAATTAGAACATTGAAATGTATTTATTGCAAAATGTAATTTGTCTAGCTTTGATAATGGAAATGATAATTAAGTTCAAAGTAATATAGTATTTCAAATTATCTAAATTTGCTTATTTGATACATACAATTCTTTATTACTTTTTTTAACCATAACAATATTCTTAGATAATTTTAAAAATAAAATTTATTACAATATCTCTATGTGCTTTTTTTCTTTCTTTTTTTCTAATGCAATGAACCTTTTTCCAAAAAATAAAATACTTAATATCAGATGAATAATAATCGAAAAAATTTTTTAAAATACATACACGCATAAATGCATTAAAAAAAAATGCAAAAAAAAACAAGTAAATCTTTTTAATGATACTATAATGACTATGAAATTATTATAACGTTTATTTTTAAAATTTCTTATGTCTATAATCATTATAATATTTTGTAGTAAACATGAAGATAATTAAGTATATCTAAAAATTAAAAATTCTAAGAATGACACGAATATATTGTGTCTTTTAGATAAAAGAAGTATATTAATCGCTTATCGTAATATAAAGATTCGCAACTAATAATATTATTATGTACTTCGGTGGAATCGACATAATTTATATGAGAAAATTTCAATCTGGAATATTCCCAATATTTATCAATTTTGAAAACAAAAGAATTATTATGGATGAAACTCACGCAGAATAACTTTTAAACATAACTTCGTTATTCGATACCATTTACTGGCAGATTGGAAGACATCGACCTGTGGTTATTGTGGTTTTGCTGATGAGTCTGGACGTGTGTTACTTTTGAAACGCTTGGACGACCAGCTAGAAAAGCTGCAAATTGTTCCTATAACAACGATGCCATCACGCAATAAAAATATATATTATGCATAAATATAAATATAAAATTGATATTTTTGTCGTGTTCAAATCAGATATATTTTTTTATATGCTTCTAAAGTGTAATACATTCATAAATTCCTTTTACGATTAAATATTGAAATCAAACAATTTTAAACGCATAATTTAATAATCGAAACTATATATAAATTAAATAAAAAGAAAAATTATAAAAAAATAATTCGATTTTACGTACCAATAAATGATTCGTAATTGAATTGAGCCTTTGTATGGCTAAACGTACAGCTGAAATATGTTTCTTCGTTGCATCCTTTTGACTGATGATTGGTATCATCTAAAGAAAATAAGGCAAAAATATATAAATAAACGATAAAATTTAAATCGACATATTTAAAGAAGGGATTCAAATTCAATGATATTCACGTTTAACGTAGCATTTGCAATTACATGCAATTGATTTGAAACTCTAATGAGAAGTCTGCCAAGATTGCGAGGAGTTTTGGCTGCTAAAGCTGCTGTTCCATTCACCAGATGTACAATACGACGTGCAGATTCACGCGTTAGAAGAACCAATAATTGTTCTACAGTGGTTGGCCGAGCTTGATTTTCCGGTTCGGGCAAACTTAAAGTTCCCCACAGCTCTTTGGCTTTTTGGAACGCTAATATTGGATCCGTTGCTAACTGCAACATATTAATTTGAATAGAAATCTAATGAGTTTGATTATTGTTATTTTTAATTATTTGATATTATTAATTATTTAATAATATCATCAAATATTATCATATTTGTAGCAAAGATATTACAGTAAAAATGCAAATTGTTGTGAATTTTAATATGTTGTGAATGTATAATATTCGAGTTTAAAAAAGAGTGCAAATGCATTTGGAAAAAATTAGAGATATCTTTTGGAAGAGAAAAATTATAAATTGAAATTGAAAATTATTATAGAAATTGAAAAGCTTAATTAATCGTTGAAAAATATGTATAGAATCGTTCGAAATTATTATTATTATTAATTGAATATATTAATTCTTTCGAAAGAAAATATCACAGGAAATGACATTTTATATGCGACTAATATCTGAGTCGTGAATCATCATTCTTGTTATTTTTAAATTAATAGCTTCATACTCACGAATTATTCATTCTCACTTTCTAATTATATTAGTTAAAAGAAATATTACTTACCAATTCTATAACGTACAAAAGTATATGAATGCATTCCGTTCCTTGTTCCTTAAGTGCTCGAGCTTCAGCTAGCGTGCGACGTGTTAGTCGTTTCTGTAATTTCCTAGATAGTCTGGCACCGTGATTGATAGTTCGTTTGGTCTTACTTACCGATTCCGGAGAAGCAACTTCTGAAAAATAATTTTTATTGGCAATAAAATTTTATCGCATTGTATAGTATATTATATCAAGAAATTTTATCCAGAATTATTTCTGCTATTGTTGCTAAAATTAATTCAATATAATATTTTTTAATTAATTTAATATATTACTTGAATTTTTATTTTTTATAAATCAATGTTTTTTATCGTTCAGATAAATTTGAAAAATATGAAAGTCTCAAGTAAAAAGTATTAATAATGTAATAATAATTTATTTTTTATTCTAAACTTATTTCAGAAAACTTAAAATATTGTATAAATTTATTCAAAGATTTTTACTAATAAAAGTTTAGTGATTTATGATAATTTTAAAAAGATTTTTGTCTTCTTCATTTTTGTCATCACCACTTTAGTTACTATTATATAATAGGCTTAAACCCCAGGTAACACGATGATATCTATTTTAAGCCTGAAGGGAGTCTTAAGTCTAAAGGTGTCTGGTACGTGATGTTTTGATGTTTTGTTATGAGTTTTGATTCAAAGATAATTAGTTTTATTTACTATTTATCATAAATAAATATAAAATGTATAAAAAAAATATTTCGTATCTATCTAAAAATAAATTTATTATTAATTTAATCCGAATTATTATTTTTTTTTTGTCAATTATTAATATCAAATATTCCAAATAAAATTAATTTTTCCCTATAAATAAATATTTTCCTTTAGATTAAATTTTAAACGAAATTAAAATTAAAATATTTTCTATATCAATAATATTTAGCTACAAAAATTTATGATTTAGCAATATTTTATAGAAATTGACCATCTGTATACAATTCATATACTTTATGATTCTAGTTATTTTATATATTTTAAAATTGAACAATTGTTTCCGTTCGAATAATTTGAGATTGCATTTATATTAAATTGTATTATATTAAATTGTATATACATCATTATATTAAATTAAATCTTCTTATGTATGATATTTAAAAGTTATTTTTAAATTAATATTAGTAATTAGAAACGATTCATTTACCATCTATACCGTCGGTAACATCAGCAGGCAAATAATGATCAACATATTTGTCCGCAACAGTTAAAGCACCATCTAACGTGTCTACTGCAACATCCGCAGCTTGGCTTCCTATTATCTTCACACTTCCGGCACGCATTAGAACAGGTCTGACGATTTTATTGTTCACGTATTCTCGTGCATTGCAGTACATCTTAATAATAACACGAATAATGAATTAATTAGCTAACAATTAACCAAAATAATAAATAATTAATATAAATAATTATATAAATAAATAATTAATATTATTTTCACGTATGTATAAAATTATTTTTATTTACAAGATGTGGCGGAAGATGAACTGCTGGCACTCTTTGCTCAACAATATCTATACCCTTACAGAGCAATTGATCGATCGTTGTAATAGGTCCATTTAATGCATGAATCGCGGGTTTTGCTGACGCTGTTGCGATCGCAAATGACTGTTCAGCAGTATACAAACTCCAACCCATCAATGAATTCGAGCGCTGAAATTGAAAATATTATCTTGTATTTGTTATTAATATATTTATGCGAATTTTAAATAAATTTGAATTTGAATGAATCTTAATAGGAGTAAAATAAATCTAAGAAATTGAATTGATTATGTTATATTTGATTAAATTAGTTTCAAAAATACAATATATGTTTGCCCTTAGGAGTATACATAACACGTATATAGTTGAAAGTTTAATAAACAAAAGATATTTAACTGGTTGAAATCTATATAGAAATCTTTTCAAAGTTTCATTTGAAAATAATATTTTACCGATACTTCTTTGTTACTTATTTGCATTACTCTTTAGAATGATTGGAACATATATTTATTTTATTCTTGCAAATATGGCGTACTTTCACAACTGGTGAAACTAGCAAGTGAAAGATGAGAGAAAGTGGCGAAATGTACAAAACTATTGGATTGTTAAAATATTTTGTTAAACTTTGCTTACCTTTATTCTATCGTATACATTGCCAGCTATGTGAATACCGTTTTCTATGATGGGAAGACTGGAGATTCTAACAACTGATTCGAATTGCGGCAAATCAGAATGTCGTCTTTTTACATTCGTTCGTGCCATTTGTGAAAATTTTTGCTGTAATAATTAAAATCAAAATCATTAATTGTGTATTTTATTCATACACTTATCTACTGGGGCGTAAATATTTTTGATTCGTTTAATTGATATATCTGCGATTTAAATTTGAAAACATTTCGTTATATTTTTAAATGTACATTTTAATATTTTGAGGTAATCTCTATGTATACGTGAATAAGAGATAAGCATTGTGTTTTCAACAAAGAAAAAGAAAAAAAAATATATAATATGTTAAATTTATCTAATGAATGAAAGTATTTATCATTTATATTTATTTTACAAGTGCATAAGTACTTAGAAATTACATAAAAAAATTTAACGTTCTATTTTCTACATATATCTTGAACTAATATAAAATTTCTAAATTGATAATGATATAAGATTTCATTTTTTTATAAAAATTATATTCTAATATTTAATTATTTGTCAATTTTCTTCCATTAAATCATTTTGTCATTATTATTTTTTTCGTGTAATATTCTTATCCGATCTAAGAAAATTGACATTATTATTTATTATGTTTGATAACTTTCGATGAAATAAGTTTTAATAACAATATAAAATAATTTTGTATAATATGACTATATAAATAATGATTTTATGAATATAATTAATGATACGCGATAAAGGTTAATAATTAAAGTCAAGTATGATTGACTAGTACATAAATAAATTATAAAATAGAATGTTATAAAAAATATTTCTACAGCTTAAAAATGTTTAATTGCACATGATATAAACATGATATAAACACATAGTAATCGAGTGAAACTAATTGTGGAAATTGATAAGAAAGGTCATATTATAATATACCTCGTGGTTAATATCAAGATTGTATTCCTCTCAAGAATTTCATTACTATAAATTTCTCCATAGATCTCAATATTTTAGTCTTCAATTTATGCGGACATATATAAAAATTTAATTAATATAGAAAAATTTTAAACAATATAAGAAACTTTAATAAAAACGAATAATATCTGTAATTTCTCTTTTACCATTGTAATTTGCTAATTTAGTATAGTTAGACAGAATAATGTAGGTTTCTTTCAAGTTTACCGTGATTATATATGATAGGCCCGTATTAAGCACAGGTCGATACCCCTATCCTTATCTCTCTTATCAAAACCACAATGCAGACTTTGTCGACGAATTATAATCTAAATAATACCTTATATTCACATGCGATATTTTTTACATATGTTAAGAAAATATCATGAGAAAAGTATATTAAATTTGACACGAGGAGAAAGAAAAATTTTTTTTGAATCGATAATCTGCAAATATTTGTAATGATGAAACAATATTTCAATCGATTATGAAAATTTACGAGAATCGAATTTAATCGATGATTAATCGTGTTTGATAGTTGATCCTTACCTCAAGGTGCAGACAGCCGACTGGACCGTTAGCGAAGTGTGGATTGATCGTGATGAAATTATATAATGGAGCTCAGTAGGATGTAAAGACAAATGACAGAGAGGTAGTCGATGTTTCGCCAAAGAACACGACATCAACTGTAACGTCGAAGCCTGCGAAATGGTATCTCATCGGTTTGACCTATGACACGTCGATTATACAGCTGTGGCATTATGATGCCTTACGAATAAAATCTTTTCTCGTTTTCCTCACGCTTGTAATCCAATGATATCCGGTGATGAGGGTTTTTTTAAATATCACATGGAAATTAAAATTGGTCTCCGTTAAGTTTGATCACCCACGTTTACCATCGTTTGTATTCGAAAACACAGACTTTGTGTTCAAATGATAGATTTAAGGTTACGTTTACTGTAGTGTATACACGCGAAGAACAGAGCAAATATATAGGTAATCGTTGCTATAAATATGAGGCAGATGTATTATTCATAGAAAGATTTCATTAATAGATATTAGATCAATTTGGAAGAATCTAATTTTTACATTAATTTTTAATTATATATATACGTACTTTATATACTACTGAATATATATATATTCCATTAAATTAAGAAGTTTTATAATTTTAAATTTTAATAATTATAATTGATTGTGTCATAGAATATTATAATATAATTATACATATACTGTATTAACTTGTGTTAATTTTGAATAATATTATTAAATATTTAATAAAAGTATTAAAAAATTCTGTTTTTAAAAAATTACTTGAAAAATTGGAATCATTATCTTTGTTTAATTAGAAAAATTTTCAAAAAAAGAAATTTGTATCTAATTATCTATTGTTAAATAATGAAGATAAATAAACATTGCCATGTAATAATAATATAAAACATTACATTAAATAATAAGTTCAAGTTCAAGAAATTAATGAATACGATCATTTCCAAATTTTTCTAATACAGAATTAAATACAGAATTTAATTCAAAATATATTTTCTATACTTTCTTTTGCAAATTTCATATTTAGATATATAGTTTATATTGAGATATAGACATTAAAAAAGAAAATACTTACAACATCATAGTAGAGAGAGAGACATAAAAATTACTTGTAGTAATAGCTACAGAAAAATAGTGGAAAAGGAGACGGAAAAGTTGAAATTATCGCAGGCAGACGTTCTTAATTGCTATACAAAGTCCATCTCATCAAACGCCCATATGCATGTATGGGATGGTATGGTAATCAGTTGGATGCGTGTGAAATATAAAATATGTTTCATTTTTTTTCTTATTTCTCACTTTAAAAGGAGGTGCTTTTATACATATATGCATAATATAGGGTGAAAGATATACAAAATATGAAAACTTTTCGTATTTAAATTAAAAATGTTGCAAGTATTGATTTTTCTTAATTAAATAGAATGGTGCATTAATTATTTTTAATACAATTTGAATATGAATTTTTTAATACAATATGAAATAGACAAATAAAAACTTCAATTTCATTTTTTTATGGAATAATACATTAATTTGTTATTATGTATTTAAATATTGTTACTTAATAATGTGGTTGAATTTAATAACATTTATTTAAAATATTTCCTTTATTCTGTTCATTCCTTCATTCTGTTCATTCCTTCATTCTAGCTAAGAAATTACGATAAATTATGAAGAAAATGAAAATTTTTAAATGAATTATTTCTCATGACACATCGAAAAATGAGAAAATGACATATTCTTCAGAATTATTTTATTAAAATGCTTGAAATTGTGTCATTCTCTTACGAATATAAGAAATGCCCTTTGTATCTGTGGTAATTGAGGAATATTTACAATCATAATGAAATAAATATCAATTACAACGATTTTAATTGAACATTCTTCATTATTTAGACATTTATACGTTTTTAATCTAAAATGAAAAATTATTATTTATCGACGCCTCAGAAAGGAATTATCTAATGTCAAAAATACATAAAAGAAAATATAAGTAATAAGGATTATTTTACTTAGTAACAACTCTCCAAATAAAAAAATATTAACAATCATCGTGTTAAAAAATAAAATTATTTTTAAAAGACTTCTTTTAAAACTTATTATACTCAAAATGATGATAATAATTAAAAAAATAAAAGAATAAGTTTATATATGAAATTCCTCGAAAATTATAAAACAATGATTTTCTTTACAAAGAATATATTCAAATTGTATAAATAATTTTTTTTTATTTTATTATTTTAAAAAATTTTCCATTAAATTTACTATTTAAATTTACATTTCATTAAAAATTATTTATCAAAAAAATGCTTAAATTTTACTTATTCAAGAAATATTATGTTTATCAGTTCAAAAAATATAGTTTTGATTTTTAATAAATCTTCATGTTATAATTATTTTATTGCAAGTTTATCGAGTTTAGAAACTAGACAAAACAAGTTTTGTTGATTAAACTAATTATGATAATATTAACTAAATACTTCGCAGAAGAGAAAATAAATATATTTTTTTTTCTAAAAATAAGCACAATTTAGATAATAAATATTAATGAATAAATACAAATCATAAAATTTTATGTAAATTTTTTTTATTTTTTGTTTTTAAAATCATGAAAAATAATTTTATTTTTAAATCACTAATTAAACGTCACTTTGCTCACTATTCAAAAATTTATGAATATTAACTTCATATGTATTTTATATAAATTAAATATATAAAAAAACATATAATAAATTCTGATTATTTGATATAAAATTTTGAAATATTTAAAATAATAAAACAATTAATTTATATTTAATAATTATTGTTATACAATTTTTAATACTTTATATTTCTAAATATGTTCTATACATAGAATTTATATATGTTTTTTATATATGATCTTTAGTTGTATTTTTTTTAATTAATTATAGAGAAATTTTTATTTTATAACTGACTTATATTTGTTAATAACTTTATTTATTGTTGATAATATGTTTATATTTGTAATACATTCGTAAATAAGATTTTTATTATTTATGTAGTACATATTTGGAGTGATTTGAATCGATGAATGTAGTATAGTTTCATGATATATTGTACTGCATATATTTAAATGAATATACACATATATATTGAAGAGAGTCAGCAAGCATAAACAAAACCATGTAATCAAAATTTAGAAGAATTAGTATCGAATTTAATCTTGAGATACAAAATAGAAAACTATTTTTTTTTTTAATATATTAATTTATTTATGAAATTATTCGACATTTAATATAAAACATTGCTTCTAATATTGAAATAATAATAATTTAATTTTCATAAAAATAAGCAATCAGTATAGCAACACTTAACTAACATTATCGAATACTAATATATCAACGATTCTAATACTAATAGTTCATTAACCAATAACTGAAATTGCAACGTCTATCATGTCTATTGATTTTGATTTGTCTATTTATGTTAACTCATCTCGTTGAATAAAGTATATAAATCCTAATAAACATTAATAAAGTTTCATAAATATAACACTATTTTAAAATTCTTTTCTTATTAAATTTTGTTTTATATTTACATGATTTACATGATAACATCGCAATTATTCGATAAATTAAAAGAATAAAATATCATTTATAAATAAAACATTATAAATTTTAAAATATCAATATAGATATGAAATCTTACAGGATTTAATATCTTATGTTCTGAAATACCGACTTCGAGAGAGAGTGTTTCTTACGCCATCTGCGATTTATTACGAACAATATAGAAACTATTTATATTCACTTTATCCTTGAAAAAGATATACATATATTCAGGATGTTGATACATTTATAATACATTTTTAAATGATCGATTCTAGGCAAAATAAACATAAGATTAGATAAAATGTCGATTGTATAAAAATGTCGATTGTTAATTTTAATTTGATTTATTTTATGAGTTAGTGTGTTAAATATAAGTGTTAATAAAAAATCATTATTATTAATTTATTCATTAAACAATTTTTTTTGATTTTATTTTATTTTGCATGTATTTTAAATGAAACATATATGCAATAGTTAATAATTAAATTGATACAAAGCGATTGTACTTTCGTAAGACGAGAAAAGGTCGAATTAATAGACACTCGTTTCGATGGAATAAGAGATACTAGATTCAATTAAGATTAACTAGGAAAATTGCTGGTATTCATCTTAAGAAATCACTTGGATGATATTTCAATTAACAGGAATTGCGGCCAGTTTTCTTAGAGTTAATATTCATTGGCAATAAATGATATAGTGAATAGGAAAACCTTAGTAAATTGTCCCTGACTTTGATACTTATACACTCGTATTACACGTTAGTTATAACGATATTGCGTCTTTTAAAAAATTAGTTCAAACTAATGCAACAGCGTAATAAAACTATGCATACCGATTTTTTCATGCATTTTAAATGAAACTAACTAAAGCAAGGTCAAATTATGAAAATATATTTTTAAAAATTCAATAGTCGAAACAGTTTATTTCATTGAATCTAAAAAATAATAATAATTATAAGAAACAATTTGTTTGCTTTTTGTTTTAATTTATTGTATATATAGGATTTTTAATTGATAAACTTTTTCAATAATCTGATGAAAAAAACGTTTGAGATAGAATTTGGTGATAAATCATCTAGGAATTGCAGTATTTAGAATTATTTAGAAAAGTTTTAAAAAATTAAAATCACTTTGATTTCTTCAAATAGCAAAATGCAATTTTGATTATATATTATATGCAATGCAATTTGATTATAATATTATAGTTGATTTCAAGATAATATATTATCTTGATCTTTAAACAATCTTTAGTTCATTACATGTTATATGAATATATAATATGATAATAAATGCATCAATGTTTCATACATTAACAAGGAATTTTATTCTATTTCAAATTTAATTTAATAATTTATTATATTTTGATAAAATTTATTATAGCAAAATCTTATATTAATTAATAATAGTTTTTAATCATTTTTTTCATTTTGAATAACCATAATCATTTTTAAATATTAAATATATAATATAATTATAATAATAAAATTATATTCATATTCGTGAAAAATAGTAGATAATTTAAATAGTTAAAAATAATTACTATTACTATTAGAGAAGTAATTTAAAAAAAAAAACGAATGAGAAAAGAAACGAGATAATTGCAAATATTAGGAATATAATATTTTTTAAAAATTCTTATAGTTAGTATTACTAAATTATTATCAATTTATTTTTAAATAATGAAATTATTTAAATTAAAAAAATCATAAATTAGCATATTTTCTTTATTAAAAAATTTAACATATAAATTAATTATTTGATATAATTTGTCAAAAATTTGTTGTTAGAAATAATCAGGACTGGGCATTATCGAAATAAATTTTAATTTGAATAATAATTAAAATTTTTATTAGTTTTA